TGAGAAAATTACCCCTACCTCTAATGTTAAAGGTATTCGAAGTTTTCTCGGTCATGCAGGTTTTTACAAATGCTTTATCAAGGACTTTTCCAAGATAGCAAAGCCAGTATGCAAGTTGTTGGTCAAGGATGAGGAATTCAACTTCACAGATGAATGTTTGTTAGCATTTAATATTTTAAAAGATCGCTTGACCACTGCACCCATAATCGCTGCACCAGATTTCACTTTACCTTTTGAATTAATGTGTGAAGCTAGTGATTATGCCATAGGAGCTGTCTTAGGACAAAGAAAAAATAAATTGTTGCATGTGATTTATTATGCTAGTAAAATTCTTAATGATGCACAAATGAATTATGCAACCATTGAAAAAGAATTACTAGCAGTTGTCTATGCATTTGATAAATTTAGACCGTATTTGCTGGGGTCTAAAGTAATTGTTTATACTGATCATGCTGCTTTAAAGTATCTGTTGAATAAGCCGAATGCAAAACCACGACTGCTCAGATGGATACTGCTCCTTCCCTGCTTGCACGCTCTCGAGCGTCCTCTTGTGTGCTTGAGCGTGCTCTTCTGGCCCTTGAATTGTAAGATTTTGGCTTCACTTGGTCCATATTGAGCCGCTACTTCTTCGTTATGATTTCTTTAGCACTTTTCAGCACCAATAGGTGTGGTTTTACCTTCAAAATGAAAATAATATCAAATCGTTAGCTCAAATTCCTATTTTCATACTTATATGCTGTAAAACCTTGAATTCCATGCAATCTACTACATATTCCTCATATAATTTAGCCTAAAAACATGGTAAACCAAAGGTTTATCAAATATTCCCAGATTTGAATATTGATGTCCTCAGCAATCAACTAGAATAAAACTAAGGGGATAGGGAGTAGGAATCTCAAAGCATGGATTTTGACAGGAAGGATTCAACAGAGACATGATAACAGAGCATTCAGACTATAAAAATTGATACATTAATTAACAAGATTCATAATTCATCAGAAAAAGTTGCAACAAAATTCTTAAGATCAAGAATAAGGAAAATTTCCTGAAACACTCCCTCACTAGGATTTTAATTCACTCACACTCAACTGTTTAGAGGGTTGGTGTTTCACTCGAATCCCTACTGAATCAACACTACCATAGGCTTGATTATATTCTCACTCTACATAGTATTGTAACATATCTCACAGATCAAGAGGTCTTTCTTAGGGTTATAACTTGGCCTGGCTAAAGGAAGGAAAAATTTAGAGAATAAGCTGCAAGATAATAATCCTGATTCAAAGAGGAATAAATGTAATCGTTTACAATTTGTAAACAAATTTCTTTCTTCCTTTCATTCCATTCTTCTTCTTTTTCTTTTGAACTCTTCTCTTGTTTGTCATTTTCTTTTCTTAGAACAATTTTTCTTTCTTTCTTTTCACTTTTTTTTCTTTTTCGCCTTCTCAGTATTTTTCCTTTTCTTTGTTTCTTTCTAACCAACCTTACTTCCTTGGCTTTTGCCTTTTTCCCTGTACTTTCATACATCACGATTTATATAATCAACAATTAACATCTTTTCCTCAATTCAAATCTGAAAGTTAATCTCAAATAAGGTGAGGATTTATATGGAAAGTGGCTTATTCATCTTCATAGGTTTTCAAAGAATAAACAGGCCTAGGCTCAAAAGGGTCTAACTAAGGAATATCGGCAATGGTTGGCTATTTGGCCATCTAGTTTAAAGAAAGAACATGCATCAATCATATCCATAGAATATATCACATACCAATTCAAGCAAGAAACAAAGCAAGTTCTAGAGTCTTTCATATAGTGGGATGCACACTCAATAAAAATTTTCTGTATAGGCTCAAAATCTCACGGCTATGAATGCACAGTAATTTCCCTATTCTTTATCTCAAAAAAAATTTCATCACTAAAGAGAGTATTCAATGAATCATGAAAATCATTACATTGATGCCCATCATGACAAGATGACAATCATCTCCCACCAAAATGGCGCCCTAAAGCAGCCCTTGGATATCTCCATAGATCTTCTCTTGATACAAGGGATTTGTTCCAACAAGATCTCATCTTATCCTTTTGTTATGAAACAACTTTTCATAGCCAATTCAAATTCGAATTCAAACATTTAAATTCAAACGTTCAAACATTTAAATTCTAAATTCAAATTCAAATTTCAAATTCGAATTTCAAATTTCAAAATTCAAATTCAAATTTCAAATTTCAAATTTTAAATTTCAAATTTCAAATTTCAAATTCAAAATTCGAATTTCAAAATTCAAATTCAAATTTCAAAATTCAAATTTCAAATTCAAAATTCAAAATTTAAATATTTGATAATTAATTTAACTAATTAAATTAATTACTAATGTCTTGGACCATCTAAGCCCATTAACAATACCATGCGCCCTCTCCCTCTTAGGTGGGCTTCCAAACTTCATCTTGGGCTAACAACCATTATTAGGCCCAATACCTTTAGTGTTATATCATCATGACATTAAGGTGTTAGTGTGTGACCCATTAGGTCCAACATAGCCACTGACATAAATGGGCTCGGGCTCAACAAGCCCACAACCCATTTAATGACAACACAGAGCACTAGCAATGCTTTGTTGCCCCAGAGCTAGTTAGATTAATGACTTGATCATCCTATTACACATATTTGGTTGTCGTATGTATTTATTTTCGTCTCAGTTACCTTCCCATAAAACCTAGGGTAAGGAAGCGTATCAACCCTTGCGGTTTAGGGTAAGCTTTATTCGAAATAGGGAATCTTCAATTTACTGACTCTAAAGGCAGATCATCTCATGATCTCTTTTAATATGCATAGATTCTCGAGTCCCTGTAAATGTCATCCCGATTTCTCCGGTTTACAGATAACCTAATATCTCAGAGATTTGACGAATTCCTTCAGCTTATCACCCTAGCCAAGTGCTCTTTCAGGACAAGCCCAACAGTATACCTATGAGTCTCCATGTTTCAGGAAAACAAGGTATACAGTCAAAGCATGCCTTCTAGAACACAGTCTAGGTAATAACTTATGGTCTAAGGAAAGACATACCCAAATATAAAGAAACTACTCTAATGATACTCTCTGTGAGATTTCCTCATAGAGTCTCTTTTGTGGGTCTGTTCAGTGCGAGCTATACCCTTATAGATCCACTCACGACTTTAGCTAAGACATCTCCATATCTATAGCTCATGAGGTCTTTACATTGCATCCGAATACAAGTAGATAAGTCGTGCTAGTCTTACCCGAGATCACTGATCCCCATTCTCAGTGTCTCTAGACTAGGAACATAAAATTAGGAATAAATATCCAGTATCCTTGAATCCTCATTATCATGATCTCATCACAGATACTCAAGAGATACCTATTTTATTCCAAGGGGTTTATCCAGTTACTCATATAAAATATTAACAGTAATATTGAGACAAAAATATGAAACATGATAAATAGTGCTTTTATTTATTTGCGACAATACAAAGGTCCACATATGTCTTAATCTAATTAAAAGATTGTCTCTAGGACATCCATATACTAACACATCATGCTCTGAATCAATTACTGATTAAACATCCCTGCCATTTTTTTCATTTAAAAACACTGAGAAAATTTTTAAAATTTTCACAAAAACAATGGCTTGGGGTTTTTCAAAACAAACTAAATATTAAAAATTAAATTAAAAAAAATTAAACTAAAGGAAAAGAGAAAGGATTTGAGATAGTTCCCTGTTTTAGCCTGATATTCTGTGTATGCCCATGAAGTTCCTCCAGCTTACTCATTGTGCTTAGATGAACCGCGCGTTCCCCATTCCCAGATTTAAATGTTGTTGTCCTCAGCAACAGATTTAAATCTAAAAAGAAATCGCGTGAGAAATAAAAACAACTAGTCGCTCTCTTGTTGTTTGTTCCCTTTTCTTCACCTGTAAATTCACTCAATCATAGCCATTAGTCTCAACACATTCTCCTATATTTTTGAATTTTTCTCTTTATTTAATTCAAAGTAAAAATAATTAAAAATAGTGAAATTGAAATAAAACAGTAAAGTGTGGGTTTGCCTACCCATTAGCGCTTGTTTAACGTCACGAGCCTGACGCACCTGATTTACCTTCATAGTGGCTCAAAGCATAAGCTTGGTGATAACCAAGCTCCATCATTCAGAAATTGTGTCCTACCGTAGTGCTCTTCTGCATATGGATGAGGTAAAGTAGTCTCTGGAACTTTGAACTTGACTTTTACATGCTTTCCTTTGCTATTGGGCTTCTCCATCTTAACTTTTGGTTTACTTTCTTGAGAAGACTCCTCATTGTGTTCTTCTTCACCTTTCTTTTCACTAATAAAGTAGACTTGATCTTCCAGTTGAGCTACGGATGAGGGGACTTCTTTGTCAAAGAATTTGAAAATTGCTTCTCCCCGTCTACCCGTAAGATCGACTCACATTTAAGTACATCAATCAGTGCTCCTGCAGTTGCCAAGAAGGGTCTTTTAAAAATCATAGGAATTGTGGCATCTTCTTCAATGTCAAGGATGACAAAATCAACTGGAATGATGAATTTGTCTACCTTTACCAATATGTCCTCAATGATGCCATAAGCTTGCTTTGAAGAGCGGTCAGCTAGTTGCACTATCGTCTTTGTGGGCTTCACTTCAGTAATCCCCAGCTTCTTCATCATGGAGAGTGGCATGACATTGATGCTAGCTCCAAGATCACATAAAACATTGTCCACTTCCACTTTGCCTAGAGTACATGGAATGTTGAAGCTCCCTGGATCCTTGACTTTAGTAGGTAACTTCTTTTGGCTGATAGCATTACATTCCTCAGTCAGATTCACCGTCTCACATTCCTGCAACTTACGCTTCCTTGATAATAGATCCTTCATGAACCGTGCATAGTTGGGCATGTTCTCTAAAGCTTCAGCAAAAGGAATGTTGATCTGCAACCTCCTGAATATGTCTAGAAACTTTGAATACTGCTGCTTCTGAATATCTTTCTTTAATCTCTAAGGATAAGGGATTCGAGCATATGGGGAGAGATCCAATGGCTTGTTCTGTCTTTCTAGAGCTTTCTTATTCTCCCAATTGAATAGTTTCTTTTCTACTTTTTCAGGATTGCTTTTGTCAACTTCATTTGTATCCTTTTCCTTTTCTTTATTCTCTTCTTCAACTGATGCTTCTCCATCATTCTTCTTTTCTTCGGGCTGCTCCTCTATAGGCTGAATCACTGTCCCACTCCTAGTGGTGATAGCATTGCAATGCTCCCTTGGATTGACAACTGTGTCGCTTGGAAAAGTACCCGGAGCTCTCTCATAAAATTGCTTTGACAACTGGCCAATCTGAATTTCCAGATTTCTTATGGAAGCTTCTTGATTCCGGCGTGCTGCTCTATTCTCTTGCATGAAAGCAGATGTGTCCTCTCTGAAAGCATTTGCACCTTGAATATAATCAGAAGTGGTCTTGCATAGTTGTGCAAAAGCTTTCTCCCACTCAGAAGTGTTACTTTGTTATGGGGTATGTGGTTGCACTGGAAGGGGAGGGTTGAGCTGATGGTTGGATTTGTAACTCAACCCTGGATGTTGATTCTAATTCTTCTGATCATACTAGATTTCATTGGCCTCTGCTGGTGACTTTTCAGTTGTTCTCATGTAGTCACAATCTTCAGTTGCATGAGCCTCTGCACAAATACCACATTTACTTTGAGAATTACTAACAGAAGAAACTTGAGCAAGATTAAATTGTTTTGTAAGAGCATCTAATTGTTCTTGTTGTTTCTTGTGCATTTGCAGCATTTGTTCATTTTGGGCTAAGATTGCATCATAGCCGTCGTGCTTCATAATTCCTTCTCTTCTTTGTGCAACTAGGGCATTGTCAAATTCTTGAGAAGCTAAGGATTCCAACAATTCTAGCGCTTCCTCTGGAGTTTTTGTCTTCAGGGAGCCTCCTGCAGCAGCATTTACCAGTGTTCTTGTGTTGGGCGTCATCCCTTGGAAAAAGATTCTTGCTTTCTCCCATGCTTCAATTCCATGTTGAGGACACTTCCTGAGTAATCCCTTAAATCGGTCCCAAGCCTCGTACAGATATTCGCTTTCTTTTTGTTCAAAAGAGGTGATTTCTGCTTTGAGTCTTGCCATCTTTGAAGCTGAGAAAAATATGGCCAAAAATTTACTTGCTAAGTTATCCCAACTGGTTATGCTTCCTTCGGGTTGAGACTGCAGCCAAGCTCTTGCGTCATCCTTCAGTGAGCATGGAAATAGTCTGAGCAAGATAGCGTCACGAGAAACTCCATTCACTTTTAATGTACCACAAAAGCAATAAGTTATGTGAATAAAATTGCCTAAATTTATTTATTGGTTTTTTTTATTTAATCAAACAAGGGTTGACGGGTTATTAAAAAAATAAACAAAAGTGATAAGTTATGTGAGTAAAATTGCTTAAATTAGTTTATTTATTTTTTGAAGATAACTTAAGCCATTTGACGTGTCTAACCAGCCCAAACCAGCACCCATAAGTTTTTTAAAATAAGATTTCCTACGTGTATATGAGAGTATATAACCTCCCTGGAATATTATTGTTATGTGAAGAGTGAAAATTATACGGGTCCATCTATTTGTTAAGAAATTTTACAAAATTATTGATCTCTTACTCTCATAAGCTTCCAAATTATATAAAAAATTAGTTAAATCTAAAAACTTAAGGTAGTAAATAATGACCACATTAATGATTTTGTATTAATATCTTTAACGTAATTATTTTTTATTTTTTTTTCTTCTCAGTAATTTTTTTAATAAAATCTGCAAACTGGCAACTAAATCAAGGGGAATAAAATAATCCTCTTACTTAAATATTCTTTCGTCTAGTTTAATAGTAATTTGAGCCATTAGATTCAAAAAAAAATTTACAACTAATATATAATAATCCTCTTACTTAAAAATTAATGATTTGAAATATCCAAAAAAAAAAAAAATTAATGATTTGAGTACTCACAAGAAGCTATTCAAATAGTAGAAATACATGGAAAGAGAATATTTTTTTTAGTTTCTTTAGTAAGAATTTGTTTTACAAAATAAATAAATAAAAAACAACGGCTCAATTGCGTTACTAGAAATGCCACCACTATTATATAAATTTCCCAATTATGGAATAAAATCAAATAATTTGATATTATTCGAATTTATACCAAACAAAAGTGGTTGGAGTAGATCTTATTATATGAAACCGCAAACCGCTATGCAATGTAGCTCTCATAACTTAGTTCTGGGGTTTGCTTTGGTTTATATTTTTGTAAAATTGATTTTGAAAGAATTGTGTTTAAAACCGCTGATTTGTGATTGAAAATAATATTTTAAAAGCGAGTTTAAAAATTATTGATAAAATATAAATACTTTTGAAGTATATACATATATATATATATATATATATATATATATATATAGGGTTTTATAAGAGTTATGTTGTAGGAAAAGTGATTGTGTAATGTTATAGAGATTCGTTTTGCGTGCCTTAATTTTTTATTTAATTTTTTGTTTTAAAAAGTGTTGACTCCACAAAATATTGTGAGGGTAGGAAAGTTTGTTGTGTTATGTTAAAGGATAAAACGAAAACTCATATATATATATATATATATATATATATATATGTATTAAAAAAATTTATGAATTTCATGTTTAGAATATGAAAATAAAATCACCAAACACGTGAATTTAGTATGAGATTATTTCAGTTTAATTTATGGTATTGAGTTTGAACCATAGGTGGATATCCGTGTTTATGATTTGCCCCACTTGACCAGATTAATTAGATTAAACAATGCATCGGAGAATAAATTTAAAAATAAAAAATAAAAAATAAAAAATAAAAAAGGGGCGAAGGGGTATTATAGTAAATATGAAAAATAGAAGAATATGGATAATGAAACTTGTAATTAAGAACTTTGAAAGATAGGCGGGCGGGAGGGCATCTGGGTTGTATATAACAAAGCTGCTACACTCCAAATTGGGGTCACTCCCACAGTCGCTGGCTGGCCCTAAACTCACACTATTTTTGTTTACCTTTTACTTTTCAAATTCAAATAACTAAACAAAACCCAGAATTTTTTGCTTCCAATTCCAAAACAAGAACGAAAAGATATATATATATATATATATATATATATATATATATATATATATCTATATATATATAGAGAGAGAGAGAGAGAGAGAGAGAGAGAGAGAGAGAGAGAGAGAGAGAGAGAGAGAGAGAGAGGGGGGGAAGACACAACGGCAAAATAGGTGTTTTTGTTTCTGTGCAATCCAATATAAGCCACTTCTTCTCCTCATTTGTTTTCTTCTTTTTATTTGCTCAGGTTCAGTAAGGTACGAAACGCCGCGTTTTCGTCCTCATACCCTCATTTTCTCGTCTGATCTAGCTCTAGCTCTAGGGCTACCCAGAAAAATCCCGTTTCGAAACTTGGTTTCTTATTTCCTTTTTTAAATAATAATTTGATATTCCTAATTAAGGGAAGATCCGGGTTTCCAAAATGGAAACAAAACCCTGAGCTTTCTGTATTTCTCGGTTTGCCAACGTGGCAGTGGGGCTTATAAAATTGTTTTGGGTTTAGTTTTCTATGAGACTCGATTCAATGGGGTTGTGATTTTATTGCAGATTAATATTATTTCTGTGATTTTTTGGTCCTCGATTTTGTTTTTGTTTTAAAATTTAATTTTAATTTTGTTTGCTTGGACTTCATTTGTGCCCTTCAATGCAATCTTGGTTTGTGGTGTTTTCTAGTTTCAAAGTCAGATCTGCACCTACTTTTGCAACGGCTTTCGCATTTATTGTTTATTTATTTGCTAATTGATTGGTATCTGAAAATGTTAATGGTAGCTTTTTAATGTTCACCTTTTCTATGGAACCTCATTAGATAACATAAATTTTCAACTTGTGTTGAAGTTCTTTTTTTTTCCTTTTTAATAATTCTGTAGCTTTGCTTTGTTATGCAATCACTGCATCTGGAGGTTGGAGGTTGGGAGAGAAGATATTAATATATTGTAATTATTAATCTTGCTTCATCTTTGCATGCAGCTGTAGAATTTCATCATGGTTGCAACAGCTGCTACATCTTCGTTTTTTCCTGTGACTTCACACTCACCAGACACTGGTGGAAAAGCCACCAAACTCGGTGGTGGCTGTGCTAACCTTGGAGGATTCAAATCCAAACATGGTTCTTGTGGTGGCTTACATGTTAAGGCAAATGCCCAAGCTGCTCCAAAGATTAATGGAACTGTAGAACATGTGAAGCTTGAGGATGATTTCCCATCGCCTCCTCCTCCACCAAGGACTGTTATCAATCAGTTACCTGATTGGAGCATGCTTCTTGCTGCCATCACAACAATCTTCCTGGCTGCGGAAAAGCAGTGGATGATGCTTGATTGGAAGCCGAGGCGATCCGATAACGTGCTCATTGACCCATTTGGTATAGGAAAAATTGTTCAAGATGGTCTTGTTTTCCGGCAAAACTTTTCTATTAGATCATATGAGATAGGTGCTGATCGAACAGCATCTATAGAGACTTTAATGAATCATTTGCAGGTATGCTCATACAAATGCAATTTAGATTGTATTGTTTTTTGGAGACTAACTAGTGATAGGTTGATAGGCTTGTAGATTTAGTCACTCTGCAGGATTAAAATTCTAATGCTGAGAATAGCAGCTTGGTAGTTTTTTTTCTGTACATGATTATCTTAATTATATGTTTAACAACCAGGAAACTGCGCTTAATCATGTTAAGTCTGCTGGGCTTCTTGGTGATGGCTTTGGTTCTACGCCAGAAATGTGCAAAAAGAACTTGATATGGGTAGTCACTCGGATGCAGGTTGTGGTTGATCGTTATCCTACATGGTAAGTCAGTCTCACTCTCCTTTTTAATATGTGAATTGCAAAGTATGTCCATGTTCAGCTTCTATTTCCAATAATATCTAGCTGAAATTTTTGGTAACTCTTCATTTGTTCTGTCAATTATTCGTCATGATCCACATAATTGGTTTACTAGTTAGGAATTTGTAATTTAATTATGAATATTATAATATAGTGAGATTCTTCTGGGATGATGACAGATCTGATAAGTGTAAGCTTTGTTCATGATGAATTATGGGAAGTCCTTTGCCTTAAGGCTGTTAAACTGGGTATGAGATATAATATGGTATTAATTATAAATTTGTTGACCTTTCATTTAAAAAATTGTAGATTTCTTCAGTTACCCTAAATTTTATTATGGTAAAATGTTAAACACATATGGGGGCCTTTGAAAGAAGTAACTTATGCCATGTGTACTTTGCATATTGCTTTGTTCACTAGTTATATACCATATGTTCTGGCTGAGGACAAGATGTTTTCAATTTTTTTGCCATGTTGATCAGTAATGAAGTTAGAGAAACTGTTACTGTGGGATATTCTGAATCTGATCATCTGAAGTTGGGTGAATCTATATTTGCTTCAGGGGTGATGTTGTTCAAGTAGACACTTGGGTTTCTGAATCAGGGAAGAATGGTATGCGTCGTGATTGGCTTTTGCGTGACATCAAAACTGATGAAATCCTGACAAGAGCCTCCAGGTAGAATAAATTTGAGAAATTTTCTTCCTCCTTTTTTCTGTTGCCAATTCTCATGTTTTAAATTTTTCCCCTGAATCTTAATGCGCATGTCTGGTGATTGGGCACTCTTTAATCTTGCAAGCTTTTGCTTATATTTAGTTTCTCTTAATACAGAACTATTAAAAATTCAAATATTCAGTTTGCTTTTCTCATGCATTTGGAAATCTTACAGATTTAAGTATATCACTTTTTTTGTAGGTGATAATTTATGGTTCTACCAACAGAATTTAATATCTTTTTAGTTTATTATTAAGTATACAAGCCTTTAACTTGTGTCTATGCTGCACCTTGGCGCTAGTAATCTGATCTGTTGGTTTTGGTTTCGATGTTCTTCAGTGTTTGGGTCATGATGAATAAACTGACAAGGAGACTATCTAAAATTCCAGAAGAAGTCAGAGGAGAGATAGAGTCTTATTTTGTTAATTCTGCTCCAGTTGTTGAAGAGGATAACAGAAAAGTACCTAAACTTGATGATACAGCAGATTATATTCGCACTGGTTTAAGTGTATGTCAACTCTTTTTGTAATTGTTATTATTGATTTATTTTCTAAAATATCTCAGATGTTTTCTTATGATGTTAAATACTGCATCTCTGTTTTCAGCCCAGATGGAGTGATCTGGATGTTAATCAGCATGTTAACAATGTGAAGTACATTGGGTGGATTCTGGAGGTAGTTTTCTGTTCTTGTATTCTTATCTACTACTATCCTTGCTGTCTCCTGTTCTCTTTCTTTCATCAGTAGGTGGATTTATTAGTAGATGTCGTATAACTGGAGTCTGCCCTTTGGCAAGGCAGGTTGAGTGATGATACTGTTATTCTGGCACACCCTTTTGAGAGGAAATTGGGGGTGTGAGTGTCATTAATTTTGCAAGTTTAGCTTCTGAAAGTGTTAAGTAAGGTTATGCTCCAGTCCCATTAAGTGATTGCATCTTTAGATATATTATATATATTCTTTCCTGTAGAAGAGATCTTTCATATGATGCATGTAGTATAGTATACGCATATGATGGGATTTATAATATATGTCAGATGATTGATAAGGAAGTTGAAATTGTTTGTAGACAGAACATTCAATTATCTGGAATAGTTGTGGGCATTTGATGCCTCCTATGAGTGATTTGGGCCAGGTTGAAGTGGCTTGAAACTTGAAACGTGAAATAATTGAGTAGTGCTATGCGATGGTGTATCTGGAAAGCACAGAAAATAGAACAGCACAATTTGACGTTTAATCTTTTTTTCATCACTTACTTTCAATCTCTTTGAAAAAAACACATGGGTAAATTGCGTACAAGATTTTCTTCATCCCTATCCTCACAAGTTAAGGTTTCATTGGGAGTGGTTCAGTATGACTTAAGTTACCCCCCGCCCTTTTTAATTAATGTATTGAGTTATTTTGAGAAAAAAATTAGATGTTTTCTTTGGTATGTTATGTATTTGATTGATCAGGTTGCTTAACCAAAGGATTGGGCTTTGATTGATGCAGAGTGCTCCACAGCCAATTTTGGAGAGTCATGAACTGTGTTCCATGACTTTGGAGTACAGGAGGGAGTGTGGCAGGAACAGTGTGCTGCAGTCCCTGACTGATGTCTCTGGTGCTGATGTTGGCAATTTAGTTAATGGCGGAATTGTTGAGTGCAAGCACTTGCTTCGACTTGAAGATGGTGCTGAGATTGTGAGGGGTAGGACTGGGTGGAGGCCCAAATCTGTGAACAACTTTGGTTTTTTCAATCAGGTTCCAGCAGAAAAGCACCTTAATATTGAATGACTAATCCCTGGAATGGCATCACTCTCGTTGTAATTAGCTCCTGCTCTACTCTCTGGTTGCTCCAACTTCCATTCCATTTATGGTTATTGCTACTGCTAGGTGTCATCAATATTTATTTGTTTCATCAAAATGGCTAAGCATGTATATTATTATTTACTTTCTAATTTCCCTAGTTTGAAAGATGCAGATTTCTGTGATCATAGCAACGCTATTATTGTATCATATTTATTGGTCGTAGTAGCCAAGAATGACTTTTCCGTCTCATTTATTTTTTTAGGTATAAATAATTCCTTATGCAATTGATGGGGTTTTAAGAATTAGATTGGTTTCAATGGTTGAAGGTATTGGTTTTCGTTTTACTGGTTGAATTGTGATCAAATCAATGACAAGTAAATAATAATATTTATAATATTAGGCAACATATTACTTAATAAATTAATATAAAATTCGAAATTTAAGTTAGGTAAAATTTTAAGGATTAAAGGATTATATTATGTCTTGTATGATAAAAAATTAATAATAAAAGGTTATATAATAACAATTCATATGTGCGTATTTGCAGTTTGTCATTGAGTCTTTATTTGATTCATATTGTTTTTGATTTATTTAAAAAATAAAAAATTAGTTTTATAAATAATTCCTTACGCAATTGATGGGGTTTTAAGAATTAGATTGGTTTCAATGGTTGAAGGTATTGGTTTTCGTTTTACTGGTTGAATTGTGATCAAATCAATGACAAGTAAATAATAATATTTATAATATTAGGCAACATATTACTTAATAAATTAATATAAAATTCGAAATTTAAGTTAGGTAAAATTTTAAGGACTAAAGGATTATATTATGTCTTGTATGATAAAAAATTAATAATAAAAGGTTATATAATAACAATTCATATGTGCGTATTTGCAGTTTGTCATTGAGTCTTTATTTGATTCATATTGTTTTTGATTTATTTAAAAAATAAAAAATTAGTTTTATAAATAATTCCTTACGCAATTGATGGGGTTTTAAGAATTAGATTGGTTTCAATGGTTGAAGGTATTGGTTTTTGTTTTACTGGTTGAATTGTGATCAAATCAATGACAAGTAAATAATATTTATAATATTAGGCAACATATTACTTAATAAATTAATATAAAATTCGAAATTTAAGTTAGGTAAAATTTTAAGGACTAAAGGATTATATTATGTCTTGTATGATAAAAAATTAATAATAAAAGGTTATATAATAACAATTCATATGTGCGTATTCGCAGTTTGTCATTGAGTCTTTATTTGATTCATATTGTTTTTGATTTATTTAAAAAATAAAAAATTAGTTTTATAAATAATTCCTTACGCAATTGATGGGGTTTTAAGAATTAGATTGGTTTCAATGGTTGAAGGTATTGGTTTTCGTTTTACTCGTTTATTTAAAAAATAAAAAATTGTGATCAAATCAATGACAAGTGAAGGTATTGGTTTTCGTTTTAATAATATTAATATAATATAAGGCAACATATTACTTAATAAATTAATATAAAATTCGAAATTTAAGTTAGGTAAAATTTTAAGGACTAAAGGATTATATTATGTCTTGTATGATAAAAAATTAATAATAAAAGGTTATATAATAACAATTCATATGTGCGTATTTGCAGTTTGTCATTGAGTCTTTATTTGATTCATATTGTTTTTGATTTATTTAAAGGGATTATATTTTCTTATGCAACACAAGATATGATTGGTTTCAATGTTGCAGGTACAATTTTGTTTTACTGGTTGAATTGTGATCAAATCAATGACAAGTAAATAATATTTATAATATTAGGCAACATATTACTTAATAAATTAATATAAAATTCGAAATTTAAGTTAGGTAAAATTTTAAGGACTAAAGGATTATATTATGTCTTGTATGATAAAAAATTAATAATAAAAGGTTATATAATAACAATTCATATGTGCGTATTTGCAGTTTGTCATTGAGTCTTTATTTGATTCATATTGTTTTTGATTTATTTAAAAAATAAAAAATTAGTTTTATAAATAATTCCTTACGCAATTGATGGGGTTTTAAGAATTAGATTGGTTTCAATGGTTGAAGGTATTGGTTTTCGTTTTACTGGTTGAATTGTGATCAAATCAATGACAAGTAAATAATAATATTTATAATATTAGGCAACATATTACTTAATAAATTAATATAAAATTCGAAATTTAAGTTAGGTAAAATTTTAAGGACTAAAGGATTATATTATGTCTTGTATGATAAAAAATTAATAATAAAAGGTTATATAATAACAATTCATATGTGCGTATTTGCAGTTTGTCATTGAGTCTTTATTTGATTCATATTGTTTTTGATTTATTTAAAAAATAAAAAATTAGTTTTATAAATAATTCCTTACGCAATTGATGGGGTTTTAAGAATTAGATTGGTTTCAATGGTTGAAGGTATTGGTTTTCGTTTTACTGGTTGAATTGTGATCAAATCAATGACAAGTAAATAATATTTATAATATTAGGCAACATATTACTTAATAAATTAATATAAAATTCGAAATTTAAGTTAGGTAAAATTTTAAGGATTAAAGGATTATATTATGTCTTGTATGATAAAAAATTAATAATAAAAGGTTATATAATAACAATTCATATGTGCGTATTTGCAGTTTGTCATTGAGTCTTTATTTGATTCATATTGTTTTTGATTTATTTAAAAAATAAAAAATTAGTTTTATAAATAATTCCTTACGCAATTGATGGGGTTTTAAGAATTAGATTGGTTTCAATGGTTGAAGGTATTGGTTTTCGTTTTACTGGTTGAATTGTGATCAAATCAATGACAAGTAAATAATATTTATAATATTAGGCAACATATTACTTAATAAATTAATATAAAATTCGAAATTTAAGTTAGGTAAAATTTTAAGGACTAAAGGATTATATTATGTCTTGTATGATAAAAAATTAATAATAAAAGGTTATATAATAACAATTCATATGTGCGTATTTGCAGTTTGTCATTGAGTCTTTATTTGATTCATATTGTTTTTGATTTATTTAAAAAATAAAAAATTAGTTTTATAAATAATTCCTTACGCAATTGATGGGGTTTTAAGAATTAGATTGGTTTCAATGGTTGAAGGTATTGGTTTTCGTTTTACTGGTTGAATTGTGATCAAATCAATGACAAGTAAATAATATTTATAATATTAGGCAACATATTACTTAATAAATTAATATAAAATTCGAAATTTAAGTTAGGTAAAATTTTAAGGATTAAAGGATTATATTATGTCTTGTATGATAAAAAATTAATAATAAAAGGTTATATAATAACAATTCATATGTGCGTATTTGCAGTTTGTCATTGAGTCTTTATTTGATTCATATTGTTTTTGATTTATTTAAAAAATAAAAAATTAGTTTTATAAATAATTCCTTACGCAATTGATGGGGTTTTAAGAATTAGATTGGTTTCAATGGTTGAAGGTATTGGTTTTCGTTTTACTGGTTGAATTGTGATCAAATCAATGACAAGTAAATAATATTTATAATATTAGGCAACATATTACTTAATAAATTAATATAAAATTCGAAATTTAAGTTAGGTAAAATTTTAAGGACTAAAGGATTATATTATGTCTTGTATGATAAAAAATTAATAATAAAAGGTTATATAATAACAATTCATATGTGCGTATTTGCAGTTTGTCATTGAGTCTTTATTTGATTCATATTGTTTTTGATTTATTTAAAAAATAAAAAATTAGTTTTATAAATAATTCCTTACGCAATTGATGGGGTTTTAAGAATTAGATTGGTTTCAATGGTTGAAGGTATTGGTTTTCGTTTTACTGGTTGAATTGTGATCAAATCAATGACAAGTAAATAATAATATTTATAATATTAGGCAACATATTACTTAATAAATTAATATAAAATTCGAAATTTAAGTTAGGTAAAATTTTAAGGATTAAAGGATTATATTATGTCTTGTATGATAAAAAATTAATAATAAAAGGTTATATAATAACAATTCATATGTGCGTATTTGCAGTTTGTCATTGAGTCTTTATTTGATTCATATTGTTTTTGATTTATTTAAAAAATAAAAAATTAGTTTTATAAATAATTCCTTACGCAATTGATGGGGTTTTAAGAATTAGATTGGTTTCAATGGTTGAAGGTATTGGTTTTCGTTTTACTGGTTGAATTGTGATCAAATCAATGACAAGTAAATAATATTTATAATATTAGGCAACATATTACTTAATAAATTAATATAAAATTCGAAATTTAAGTTAGGTAAAATTTTAAGGACTAAAGGATTATATTATGTCTTGTATGATAAAAAATTAATAATAAAAGGTTATATAATAACAATTCATATGTGCGTATTTGCAGTTTGTCATTGAGTCTTTATTTGATTCATATTGTTTTTGATTTATTTAAAAAATAAAAAATTAGTTTTATAAATAATTCCTTACGCAATTGATGGGGTTTTAAGAATTAGATTGGTTTCAATGGTTGAAGGTATTGGTTTTCGTTTTACTGGTTGAATTGTGATCAAATCAATGACAAGTAAATAATATTTATAATATTAGGCAACATATTACTTAATAAATTAATATAAAATTCGAAATTTAAGTTAGGTAAAATTTTAAGGACTAAAGGATTATATTATGTCTTGTATGATAAAAAATTAATAATAAAAGGTTATATAATAACAATTCATATGTGCGTATTTGCAGTTTGTCATTGAGTCTTTATTTGATTCATATTGTTTTTGATTTATTTAAAAAATAAAAAATTAGTTTTATAAATAATTCCTTACGCAATTGATGGGGTTTTAAGAATTAGATTGGTTTCAATGGTTGAAGGTATTGGTTTTCGTTTTACTGGTTGAATTGTGATCAAATCAATGACAAGTAAATAATATTTATAATATTAGGCAACATATTACTTAATAAATTAATATAAAATTCGAAATTTAAGTTAGGTAAAATTTTAAGGATTAAAGGATTATATTATGTCTTGTATGATAAAAAATTAATAATAAAAGGTTATATAATAACAATTCATATGTGCGTATTTGCAGTTTGTCATTGAGTCTTTATTTGATTCATATTGTTTTTGATTTATTTAAAAAATAAAAAATTAGTTTTATAAATAATTCCTTACGCAATTGATGGGGTTTTAAGAATTAGATTGGTTTCAATGGTTGAAGGTATTGGTTTTCGTTTTACTGGTTGAATTGTGATCAACTCAATGACAAGTAAATAATATTTATAATATTAGGCAACATATTACTTAATAAATTA